TTGATGAAAAAGCCTTTCCTGATAAGAACTCGCTGCAGAGCCTTTTTGGTGATCAGCAGCTGAAATTTTCAAGTCTTGACAGATAAAAAGCCAATGAAATTTCAGCATAAGGTTCTGTAGACAGGGCAGGTGATTTCTTAAAAGCCAAAAAGCATACGATGCCTCTACTCTCCTACCCTGGGCTCCATGTTCCTCTGCCCCAGACAGCTGTTATGTGATAATTCATCATATCTTTACACTGGCCAATCAAGAAATTGCATATCTTTTTCATTTTTTGCACTTTTGTCACACATCTAAATGAACATGTGATAGAATGGTATACTTTCATTAAGAAAATATCCAAATACATGCAGCTGTTTTTTCATTTGCGTAGTGATCCTTTGTTTATATTGGTTTTACGTCTCCACATACTGCCATGGAAGCTCTATGACACACTCCCTTTAATGTATAAATATGTTTTGTCATGCACCTTACTGTCTCAGTTTTGGTCGCATGTCAATGTTACTATGCAAAACAATATAAAGAGAGTAAGGAATGGCTTGCATTGGCCAATCTCTTCTGATTTGAGAGTATGTGCATTTGGCTACAAGCAAGAGATAAGACCATTCACATGATATGCAAATTAGCCTGTGGCAGTGGTGTTCAGGGTTTGTGTCATAGAGGACACAGCAAATGCCTTTATGGATGAGTAATATGAAACAAGTTTCTCATATCACTAAGGACTATAAAGATGAGTGACAGGAAGCAAGTTTGACACATGAAATGATAATGCTGTTTCCCCTTCCTCTTTTTCTTCTTTAAACAGCAGACAGAAAGTGGTGGTTGTGTAAAGTTTATTCTTTTGTGAGGATGGTAAAAATTAACTTTTGATAATAATGTTGAAAAAACCTTTTATGTTATATGTTATTCAAGGCTCATGCAGAGTTAAAGGATTTTTTAGGTGTATAACAGTTTGTAACAGTTTTGAAATACTCCACCTTGTATTCATTACAGAACCTATTTGGACTTGAGTTAGATTAGCTTGGTCCACAGGCCAAGAAGCAGTAAAGCAAAATGAAAGAGGATTTTCTTATTTATTGTGTTGGGAATTGGTTAAAATCTCATAAATGATGATTGGTTCATTACACCTCATCGAAAATAATTGGTTAGTGTCATATATGAAATTTGTTAATGCATAAAAAAATTAGGGGAAAAAACATTTAGTTCTTTGGGGTTTTTGGGGGGGCAAAATTTCACATTTTTAAAGAATGTTATTTTAGGAACATAAATTTCTTGGAGTCTTTTAGATATTTCAATCATGACTTGGAACGAGCTTGTAGTGCTTATGAAATGTAACAGACCAAACCAACCTTGTGAAAAATGCTGTTAATGAAAACAAGTGTTCCAGAATTGTTTGTGTTCGATTCTAAGAAAACATGATCGAATGCTTGGTCATTTAGTCACTGCGACCAATCTTCGATTATATCGGACCACCACTACTGATCTATAAAGCTCTCATTGTTGTCATCTTGTCCAGGCCCCGGGATCATCAAAGTGACTTAAGTCTAAAAATTGCTTAAATCTGTCATTTTGGTCTTAAGTCCAAAAAATTTGTCTTAAATCGGGGATGACATACATTTTTTAGTCTTAAAAGTTAAGACTGAGATCATTTTTTGTCTTAAATCCTGAGGCTGCTACTTACCAGTCTTAAGCCCTTTTTGGTGCCAAGTTGTTGTTTTTTCAGGTGCACATTTTCATAAGGTTTGAAAAGTGAACGCTCTGCAAGATTTGCACTCGCGTGGTTCTGGATCTGCGTACGGCTATAAAATTATACAGAAATTTAGAATATTAAATTTCCTATCCGTTGGTATAAATATAAATGCAAATACCTCAGCGGTTTGAGAAATAGACACTGCTAAATGATGTCCAAAATTTTGTTATGCGCTAAAAAAACCCAGTAAATTTCTCCGCTTTTGATCGTGCACCAATAAAAGCACTGTGCTACGATTTTTTAAATTTGACATCTTTTTTGGAAAGTGTGAGCGAAGAAAATACAGCCTGATATCTGAACGACATAAGTATATATATGGGTTTATTTGCTTATGCATAACGTTCTACACTCAACATTAAAATGACTCACAACAAATGTCAAAATCGATTTTCTTGTGTGACGTCAAACGACGAGAGAGGTGTTGTGCACGTATAAAGATAAGGGGGCATAACTTAGCTATGCTTAACACTAGGTCAATGTAACTCAGATCACTTGGAGAGAATTTGTTGTGGATAATCACCGTGAACCAAACTATTCAGTACAAAGTTCCCCAATGTGAATGGATACGTTTTGGTAATTTCACAATTTATAAGAAAAGATGACAATGTACCACATGAGAAAGCATGTAATAGTGATTTGGAAGGCCCCATCTGATTAGTTCTTTGATTCACATATTCTCTTGTTTGTGTAGATGTATTTTGACTAATTTTGCATCATTATTAACCAAGTACTAGCCATATCTTCAAATGTAATGAAATTACTGAAAAGAGTACAACATTGTAGTTGATGTTATTGCTTGTTTTTTAACAAACAAAAACCTTCAAAGAATAAAAACTGTATACCCTATCCACGGATATGATATAGAACAAGGCTAAATGTAGATAATGAGATTAGTATCATGAAAAAATGTCTGAATGATACACAAAATATACATTCTGACACTGAAAGTGTAATCGCTGGGACATGGCGATTGTGTTTACTCTTTTTCAACTGACCTCCACCTCAACGAAATTGCCAAATATGTACTTGTAACAATGTTGACGTATGACATCACTACCGTTGACCAATTTCTTACAAAATGGCGGCTTTGCTGACATGGGTACACAGGATTTTGCGAGGACCTTTCCCTTGATTTGGGGATCGTTTGTACATATACTATCTGTGTATTGTTATATGTTATTTGTTTCAAGTAAGAGAAGAAGAAGACAGATATGCCGATCATTACCGTTGTCATTCTGCAAGATTTTCTGTCAGTCATGGCGTCACGCTGCACAGAAACTTTGACAAATTCATATTAACATCAAATTACTGTATTGAATCTATTTTTAATTTGCTATTTCTTGCTACGATGCTATTTCCATGTATGTTCTAAAAGTATTGAGCCTATGCATGGTACGATGAGATGAATGGGTGTCTGAAATTTGAGAAAATGGTACACAGTGTGAAGTCTGAATTTTTCGTTGTTTACAGTTCAACAAGTGCTGTCTTTCGCGCACAGCATTTGTTTTCATGCCCAATATCTTTCGCTTCATATCACCTAGACACTTGGGAGGCGGGGGAGTAGTCTAGTGGTTAAAGCGTTGACTCGTCACGCTGAGGACCCGGGTTCGGATCCCCACATGGGTACAATGAGTGACGCCCATTTCTGGTGTCCCCCGCCGTGATATTGCTGGAATATTGCTAAAAGCGGCGTAAAACCAAACTCAGTCAGTCAGACACTTGGTTTTAGTGACAAAGGCCATTTCTTATTTGGTACTAAAATGTATGAGGAATTCAGTGATGCATTTGTCGCAGCTGAATATGAAGTATACGTGATGTAATAGGCGTCTCAATACCGGCCTTCGTGAAATGTGATTTTGTAAACACTATCCAATGCAATATGGCAGAGTGCGCACTTATGCGTTCGTGTTAGTGTATTTTCGAAAACATCCCAATCGTAAAGACACTATTAAAGAGATAAAAGCGTCTGTTGACTTGTTTGGAACATTTCAGCAGGTGCCTGATACGGTGTCGTCCCACGAGGCCTAAAATTATTCAATTAGGTAGGTACAGTTCATTAGGCTATGTGGGACTTCATGCCTCACTGGTTTTATGGGATTACGGTGGAATTTTGCTGGACTGGTCCATTATTGACAACAGAAGGGGTGAATCATAAGAAACAACAAAAATCAAATATGATTGTAAAATAGTTATTTTAACAGTGATTTATCACATCTGTCCTTGCTGGTTCATGTGGGTGACCTCTCTACTGTGTCAGTCTCACTTCGGTCCTCCATGGACTGCTTACGCTTGATCAGCTTCACAAAGTCAAATATGTCTAATCTATAGCAAGTTTCGTCCTTCTCATGTTAGTTGGAGAAGGAAACTGATTAATATCCACTTCATGTAAATACTCCTCCAGTAATAATAGATCTAATCTTATTAAGATTAACAGTAAGTGCTTTCACCTATCCAACCTTAATGTTTTCACAGTAGACAAGTCTCATTACTAAACTAACCCTAACAGGGTGACCCCCCTTCCACTGATCAGTGGCCTTTCCCACTCTTGTTTCACGCCCCAATTATCTCATTAATTATGTCATGTCGGCAAACTGTAATTAGGCCTTGTGGGATTTATTAGGTGTGAATTTTAGGCCTCGCGGACTGTAGCCCCTGATACTATTCTCCTCGATATTAATTAAGAGTGACCGGACATGATTACATCATTCTAAAATTACCATGGTAACTGTCTTAGTCTTAGTCCTAGCTAAGATTTTTTTGAGAGAGTTTCATGATTCAGTCTTATCTAAAATCTTAGCTAAGCAAAATGTTTTAGACTTAGATTTTTTTGTGCTAAGCAAATGCTAGACTTAAGATTTTTTCATGATCCCGGGGCCAGATGTTTTGTGGCTATGTGTCATTTGCTGGTTTACTTTGTATGGACTTCATTTTTTACACTCCAGCAAATTAAAGCATAGGTATTGCTGACTCAGACACAACACAGAATATTTTCTCCATCTATCACTTCTTGGAGAAACTGTGGCAAATAGTTATTTAGAAATATTCAAAATAGTGATACTATAGTGTTTCCCCATTGAAACTGCATTATCCTGGCGATGTTCAGTCATGTGGCAAGTTTTTGCGCACATACGATACATAACTTGGATGATGTGGTGTTGTATCCTGTTACAACAGACTTTTGTCATAGATTTTTAGCTTTGAATTGACAGTATGTACAGACAGTTGATTATTCTATATTTTATCCTTACAGTGGCACATCTTAACCTTGGGATCCTAACAGCTCAGTTTGGTCAAAATGAAAATGCTGCCAAGGTAAGAAGACCCTTATATTTCCCATAGAGTAACAGATTATGTCAAATAAATTCACTGTCTACAACATTTCACAGACTTGAACATGACTCTTACTTGAACCAAAAACACATCTCTTATATGTGTTTTCAGTTGTCATTATTCAATAACGTATCGTGGTAGTCCATGCATGAATGATCTTAACAATATCTGTATGTCTGCAAAAGTTAAAAAATGTGCTTACAGAATGTATATCCAAACTTACAAATAGTATGCATGTTAGTCATTTTAGCTCACTTGAGCTTGTGCTATATCATATTGTCCATCTTGCAGTCATGAATTTTTATAACATATCCAAGGAAACCAAATGGCACATGAAGGTGAAACTTTGCATGAAGGGTTCTTACAGGGGCCAGGCACGTCTGGTGTCATCCTTTAAACATTGCATGGACGTTGAATATATACAACCCATTCACTTGTTGCACATCAATGTGAAGCTGGTTCCCAGGGCTAACTGGTGGTATCATCAGAAGTGACCTGTCGTTAGCAGGTTCGACGCCGGGGCCCTTGGAAGCTGGAGTTAGCCCGAGCTACGGCAGTTTTTTCATGCTGCAGGTACTTGTCATGTTTCGTACATAGACCACAGGTTTTCGTTTTTACTATGGACATGTACATATGTCGTCACATTTTCCCACCCTTAGACTACCCGAAGTTAAGCCCCATGCGTGTGACGGGAGCCAAAACAGCTCAGATTTGATCTGTGCATCCTGTTTGCACTAATTGTCTCACACACAGAGAAAGAGACATATGCACGCATATCATATATCAAAATGTTGCCACATGCATGAAGCACCTGAGATTGTCATGGGGTCGATGTGGGGCATCTGGTTTGACGTCCACATCCATTTTGCGATGTGTTATAGACATGTCTTTTTACCAAGAAAAGAGCCATGTTTGGCCAGCATTGTTTCCATAGAAGCAAGGGAGTGAGTGAGTGGGTGGGTGGGTGGGTGAGTGAGTCATGATGCTAGATGAGGGAGACGTGTATAGTTGTTTTATGCTGTAGAAAGCATAAAGTGAGTAAGTTAAACACGTCGCTAGATTAGGAAGGAGTGAAATGTGAGTGAGTGAGGGAGACACAGCCAATGCAACTGTCGCCCACGACCCAGAACCAGTGATGACAACAGCAAGTTCGAACAGCGAAGCCCTTTGCTACTGCTGTATAAACACAATATGCCGAAACCACTTTTATTGAGTCTTGGAATTACGACTATCTACCGGAAAGGGCATGGGCATGTATACATAATCTTACACATACCTACACATACACTTACAAATAGAAAGCCAGAACTGGGCATTGGCTTTTGATGTCAATGTGCAGGTCCCATCCTCATGTGCCGGCTGTGGTCCCATAGGGTGGCATCCAGGCGGTGTCGCAACATCCTCTTCAAGCGCCGGTTCGCCTCCTCTACCTTCCACTTGTAGGCAGAGACCATCATGTTCCTTGGTTTTACCCTCGGGAACAGACTTCCTATCACTGCTCTGGAGCCCAGCCGTTTCCACCGAAGGTAGTTCAGAAGATCCAGCAAGTCCAGAACAAGATTCTGGGGATCAGTTGATGCCGACACGACATTCTCTCCTACTTGAAAAAAACAATGCCCTGAAAGCTTGTGTCAAAGGCATGCACCTCTGCTTTCACCCGAGCGACACACTGGAAAAAAAATCCATCTTTCCAAGCTTGGAAATGTCTTGGAAAGATGATGTTTCCAAGACATTTCCAATTTTGGAAAGATGATGTTTCCAAGACTTTCCAATTTTGGAAAGATGATGTTTCCAAAAATTTCCAATCTTGGAAATATCCGCAAGGGGAGATAACTGGTGGGTGATGGTAAATTATTATTCTGCATGGGCTAATTGCAATAGTGGCATGGGGCGGCATGAGTGTTTCATGGGGTCGTTAAGTCGGTAGTCTTTGATGTTTGGTGTTGTTTTAGTAATGATTGTTTAAGGGGTTAACGAAAGGATTATCGACTTGACTAGTCGAAATTGCAGTGAACACATTTTAAGTGTTCAATGTTGTGGGTGAAAAGTGAATTTGTCACGTTGAGTTTAAATATGTATCATCATAAGCTTATATCTAGTCAGTGAGAGTTAATTTCGTACAAGGGCCACCGACCCGTTTTACAATTATAAAGATGAAAATACACTCCAGCGCCATATATAATATTAAGCTGTATGCTAACGTGTACAATGTCTCATTTAATCTTATACTCTATATTCAAAAACTTCGGCTCTTTTTGTCAATGTTTCACATGGATTATTTATGTAGTATTGTGGGAGAAGGCTGTTTCTCAGATCACAGTAAAATGAACATTCAATAAAGAATTGGTACTCTGATTCAATGGTAAGTACAATACACAGAGGGTAGAATCACTCATGTTGTTTTATATTTACTTTTTAGCCCTTATTCCAACATTAAAGGATGGTCTGAACAACGAAACTTACTCAAAGCAAAACGAATCGCTGCGTTGCTGTCAATCGCTATGCGTTGCCGTCCTGGGGGTCGAAAGTGATGGTGTCACCATGCACTAATTTCCACCGGACCCCGCAGTTCGTAAGCTAAATCATTTAGTAAATGGGTTATGTTTGTGAGTGCGTAAGCGAAGCGTTGTGGAAGCTTGGAACGATATCTTAAATTTGTCCAGATCGCTTCAGCGGAAGTTAAAGAATCAAACTACTTACTACTTGTAGTACAATATATATATGATTGATGACCAAAAATATTTTCCATGACACAACTTGAAGCATAAAGATTTCTTTCTCGAAGCGAGGTCGTGGTGGAAGTGACAATAATATTGTAAGTAGTGTTATATTGACAACCACCTCACTTCCTCGAGAGAAATTGTTATGATATAAGATATGTCACGCAAAAATCCTATGGACATCAATCAAATACAGATTGTACTACCAGTAGAAAGTAGTTTTGATTTTGTAACTCGGTGAAAACAAACCTAAATAGCATTTATTGTCAGACTCATGGATGTTCGCGACAGGGCTGCCATTTTAATAATCGTAACATGACGGGCTAAAGTCTGTTAAAGAATTAATGAGATTATAGTTTGTTTTCATCAAGTTAGAAAAGCAAAACTACTTTCTACTAAGTAGTTAAATATGTATTGGAATCATGGCAAACAGGATTTGGCATGACACAACTTATAACATAACGATTTCTTCCTCGAAGCGAGGTGGGGGTCAGTGACATACCGCTAATAAATATCTTGCTACATTCCCATGGTTAATGTCCACTCACCAGTATGTAGATACTAGTCACGCGTGCGTCTTTCTATTTGGTCTTATAATCCTAATTAGTTTATTATCATACTTATGTGCATTTTGAAACTAAATAAAAATCAGGCGATCTGCCTTTACTTATAACTTGAATATCTAGACATTGTAAATCATAATTCGCACACACGCCCTAGTGTATGTTGTCTGTCTCATTACTTCACGATGAAATCATGGATTCTGTGGAATGCTGCGACAAATGAATAAAAACAAACTGCAATTATTAAAACTAAAACAGGTAGTTATAATGATGTCAGGCTATTACTTTGTTCGAGGAATGTATCCATCAATATCCACAAAAACGAGCCGTATGCCATTCACCTGCAGCTGTTCCAAATGATGTGTCTTTTAACAGTCTAATACATGTTCACGAAAAGTGATATATCGTTTCAGGTATTTTACATAGGTATATAGTCTCATTGGTCACCCAAGATAGCACACCTGGCCACTAATTGCATAATGTCCGCCATTCTTTACAAAAAAAAGTAATTTAGTTAGCCAATAATGAGCAATCAATCAATGTCTTGGCGGTTAATCCTTCGAAAGAAGGAAGTTGTTTACGCAGACACAGACACGACAGAGTGTATTCAGTATTGATTAGTTAATCTACATACATCAACAATACCTTTTGACAAATCCGCTGTGTAAGATAAAAGTAATTAATCAATCAGCGTGTTATCCGTTAATCCTTTGATCGATGTATGTTATATTGGGTATTTTACTCCAGACACAAGAAATGCAAATGGGAACCTTTGTCGGGTTATCTAAGTGGTGTTACTTGTTTTAAATTCATTAACTGACCATCAAGTGAATGATGACAAATAACATGTGTAGGTTTATACCACCTTACACGGGTTAAAACATGGGAGTATTAATTGCTGTATTGTATGTGTAAACCTATGGTACGACACTATTTTGAGAATACGGACAGAACTTCATTGTTGCATAAGAAATACATATAAGCATTTGCTGTGTGCTATAACTGTATGTACCTATTTACCTAAGTAAATTTTCAGAGCCTTCTAGCAATGGCAAAGTGGGGTTGTTTAGTTTACGGATTCAAATGGATCAAATGTCATTTTTTAATATTATACGTCATATGTTTATTGACAATGGTCCCTCGTCGTTCATGCCGATTCAACGAATCAAAAGTAAATTCATCAAGATAATCGGAGAGTGCCGAAAAGAAAGATGTGATGTTTGTGTTGCCGAGGGACAGATAATTGATGGTTTAAATGAAACGATCTGTGATACCTGTGATTCAGAAATCCTGTGTTACCTGTGACTCAGAAATTAAATTTGTTAAAAGCTTGCTAATCTTGTACATTGTATTTCTGAAGAAGATGTCTTAGTTTCGACATGACATGTATTCTCTTGTATAATATTTAACATATCTTATTAATGACCTTCAGCTGTAAACAATTAAATATGTCCTTCTTTCAAAGGGTTAACTGCCAATAGATTGATTGCTCATTTTGGCAAGGGTGTTTTCTATTATCTACATGATAAATGATACAAATATATAAAACATAATATATACAAACTTATAAGAAGTTTATAGCACTAACACAAGCAAATTTGTTTTGAACGTTCTTGATAAATCATATTGTTAAAGGTCACATGCAACCAAAAATCAAACATAATTAAAACACAATTATCACTTATTCATGACAATATAT